CAGAGCAGTGTTCCTTTCCACACTGAGGTAAATCACCAGTGTGGTGCTGAGTTGATCCTGCTCACTGGAAGTGTTTGACTGTATAAACAGGACTACTCTGAAAGATAGCTTGGGTCCGATAAAAGAGCCTCATGGGCGTTTGGACATGTTTTCCATCCATATTCAAATGAAGATGTTGGAAAATTTCTTGACTTGTTCTAAAGGCAGATAAAGAGATTTATATTCAGATTTTTTTTTTTTTGGTAATTGATGTAAATGTTTCTTAAAAGACCGGTGATTTCAAAATATATGCAGGCTGTTGTTTGTATGAGAGTATCCTTGAACTTAAAGATCTGGATGCATTGTCCTGTGCAGGGTTTTTGATTGGTAGATCATATGTGCAGTTACTGACATGGTTTAAAAATGACTTAAGTTGCATGACTAGGTTTTTTGAGACTATCTTAATGGTGGATAAAAGCCAAGTAGTAAAGGCTTTCTTTTAGTGTTTTTTTGTTTGCTGTGGTTTGGGTTTTTCATATAAGGCAGTTCATATAAATAGCTTCACTTTCATGTCATATAATATATAGCTTTCATGTGGAAATTAACTGGGCCAAGTCCTTGGTGGTGCTGAATGCAGCAGTGAAGGGAAGAATATCTATAAGCTGTTCTCTTTTCTGAGTATGTGACAATCAGGTGTAAATGGTTGTTCATATGTAATTTTAGCTTCCAAACTGGAATTCATCCAACTGGTCTGTACTCGAGTCACACGTTCTGCTGCTAGCATTTCCTCTCCCTGCTGTGTCCATGATGTGTGACACAAAGTGTGTAACACAAAGCTGGATTGTCATTAACACTGTATCTTGGGAAGCCTTAGATAACTCTTCTGCAAAGCTTCTCACTTGATGGGGCAAGATAGAGCAGGAGCTGGCTGTGACTGTGCTTAATATGTGACTTGAAGATACAAATTGGCAGACTTCTTTCTCCTTACTTTCAGTGAAGAAAAACTAATTTTTCTGCCTTGTTTTTTCTCTTAGTGAAGAAAATCTTAAATCCATAGTACCAGTCACTAAACTAAAAAGTAAAGCTCCTCACTGGACAAACAGGATACTTCATGAATACAAGGTGAGATAAATAATCAAATAGTAGAAAATACTGTCTTAAACATTTTTTGACTGTTTGGTTGTCAGTTAATGAACAAAAATACTGGTATATAAAGCTAGAAATATGTATGTTCTGACTTTTTTGGATGGATTGTTGGAATGCTGTCTTTCTTGTACAGTTACAGTTATCTGTTTGTTAGAAGTAAATATAATTGTCATCCGTTCATTTATCTTCAGTGCTAAATGTGTATTGAGGATGTGTAATACGTAAGGGCGCGTAAGAATGAGCAGAGCTTTCTTGACTTCTGCTCCTAACCCATTATTTTGGGAAAGGAGAAAGGAGTTGCGGTCTTTTGTTCCAAAGATGTTCATATATATTACATTTTAAAAATGACTGTGTAGAATTCAGATAAGCTGTAATGCAGGGTGTGGATCCAAAGAGGTTGGTCCCATCCACCACCCCCATAGTCATGGCCCTCTAACAGTTGAAGACTTGTTTTCTCTCATGCCTGTGCCACCTTATCTTGTGTGTGGCCCAGCCAAGTTTTTTTGTTTGTTAGGGTGCTTTACATCAGTCTGTTTTGAGGCAGAAGCACTCAAGCTTTGTTGTGACTGTTTCACTCTACTGAAGAGGAAGAAACAGAAGCCTGTCTCATTCAGGATGAAGGCTCCACTGAAGAAATCTGCACCTCTGCTTTGCTTAGGAAAAAAAAAATAAATCTGTGTTTTCTGGGGAGATGTACTTGTTCATCTTACCATGCCTCAATGGATTGGACCCCTTAAAGGAGGAAGGCTGCTTAGTTTTAAGGATCGTTATGCATTTAGTGTCAGATGGCTGCGTAGCTGCTTATCCCTGATGAGTCCAACGTACTTCTGAGAGAGAAAAAATAGTGGGGCCCTGCAGAGGTTAGGTGTCTTGACTCAGATTTCTGAGGTTCACACAGGTGTCTGCTTTCTGCCTCAGTCTCTTTTGGCATTTGAGCCTTTCTGTGGCTCTAGGATTTAATTTACATGTAGGAAAACAGTTGCTAGGAAAGCACTTTGGGAATACTCGTTTAGTGGGTATTCCACTAAATAGTGGATTTTCTTCAAATAACCACAACTGACTGGGAAGACTTGTTGATTGCCATTGTTCTTATGTTTCTAGAGCCTCAGCACCAGTGAAGGTGTAAGTAAAGAGATGCATCACCTTCAGCGCATGTTCTTGCAGAATTGCTGGGAGATTCCTACGTATGGAGCAGCATTTTTCACAGGACAGATATTCACCAAAGCAAGTTCAAGTAGTCATAAAGTCATCAAAGTGTATGTAGGAGTAAACGTAAAAGGGCTGCACCTCCTCAACATGGAAACAAAGGTCAGCTTAAGTGAACTGCCAATGATAAGTGTTCAGCTTAATTCTGTTCTCTTAAATTCTTTGTGTTACATCCAACTGTTTAGTTAAACTTGACTGTGAAGATATCCAAGATTTTAAGATCTTTATAGGACGCTACTCATAGAAAGCGTTGTATTTTTCACTTTACTACTTCATAAGCTACAACTAGATAAAGGAACATACTGTTATAAGTCAGAATCCTTTCTTGGTGAATGAAGGAAAGTTCTGTTTGTAATTATGTAGAATATTTACTGAGTGACAGTTTCCTGCATTTCATTGTAGGCTTTACTCCTCAGCCTGAAGTATGGTTGCTTTATGTGGCAGTTGGGAGATGGAGATACATGTTTTCAAATCCACAGTCTGGAAAACAAAATGAGCTTTATTGTGCATACTAAACAGGTAAGCATTGTAATTTTTCATCCTTCACATTAAATTATCTTTTCCTAAACTAGATACATGCCCCTTCTCTCTTGAGATCACAGAATCACAGAACGTTAGGG